CCTGTCTAAACATGAAAGCTTAGAGGCTGTTGCCCATCCTTTCTTGGACAGATGGGAACAGAAACATACCTAGAGATCCAGTCACACACCAGGCTCTGCCCTGGAAAACCCATGGTTCTGGCTTGTTAAGAGGCTGGTAGGGCAGAATGAAAGCTCGGTGCCAAAGATTTGGGGAGGAGAAGAGCCGAGTGCTGCCTTCAGCCAGGGCTTTCGCACCTCATGGTGGAGAAACATTACCAGAGCTGCAAATGATAGCGGTGGGATGGGGCTGTAGAGCATCCCCTATACTCTGCACAGTCCTGGGGGCCATCGCAGGTTGAGCCTAAAAAGGGGACAGTAGTGAAAAAGACTGAAGTTCAGGTTCTTTCCAGGTCTCCACACGACCTGTTCCCCGCAGGCAGCGGCTGCCTGGCCCCGCTGGGATGGTTTTGTTACCGGGACTGTGGATGGAGGAGAAACAGCATCGCCTTCCTCAGATGGGAGTCCCCTGCACGGTGGAGCAACAAGTGCCTGGGGCCACCAGGGGAGAAGAAATGAGGTCCCGCCACTTCACCGAGGACCGTAAGTGAGGACCCGGGCAGCAAGCGTGCGTCTCTGCGCCCCCTCAAAGAGTGAGCCGACATCTGCAGCGGGCCGGCTAATGAATACAAACGACTGCCCCGTGCCCCGCCGGGGGGTCTTTAACACTTCACACGTCTCGGCGACGTTGAGTAATCGTCTCCCAAAGCCTGCTTGGGCAGCCCCTCCATCCCACGGCAAGCGGCGCGGAGATGAATGACTGCCGAGAAGACACGGCATCGCAATAATTTTTCATCCACAGTGTTGCTTAACCTTTCGTGAGCAAATCAGATTTCCCTGACATCGGCCTGGGCGCCGTACCTGCATTAAGTATTGCTGGGTCAGGGAGGGGCAGCCGTGATTTATGCCTTCTCCCTGCTAATCGGATTCTGGGGCAGGCAGATATTGATGGGCGCCTGCCTTTGATCCATGGCTCTCGTGAGCCTTCATTCAATTACTGGCCCACGGAATGCAATTAGCAGGGCCGCGAAGCCACGTGGGCCTCATAATCACGGCACAGAGCGAAGATGAAGGGGCTGTCACCAGGAGGAACGCCGCCCGGTCCCACCTGGGGGATCAGATGCACTGCGGTGCGTTTGGACGAAACACTAAGGAAGCATCAAGGAGGAAAGGAGAAAAGTCCTGTTGACCCTAAGCGGTCCCATCTTGCTTCCTCCCCATCACGCAGCGTCACCACACGATGCTCCCACCACCTCCGCCTTCGTTGCCATCTGGCTTGACCATCCTTGCCCTCTCTTGGCATCGTGACTGCTCTGCCGTGTTACTCCCTGCATGACCCAGTTTCCCATCCCAAATCCGGTTGCTCCACCTCCTGTGTCTCCCTGCCCACATTTCTTCCCCTGTACGTAATGCTCTCTGCTCATTCCTCTTGGATTTCATCCAGTCTTCTTGTCAGGGGAGGTGCAATCCCTTCCCGAGCTGCTTCATCTCCCTCACCCATCCTTATCGCAGGTCGTGCTATCTCTGGGCTATCTGTTCCTCTCCCTTCTCATATTTGTTTATCTGCTCTAACAACCTCCTTCACCTGTGCTCTCTGGGCATGTGATGACAGCTGTCTCCATCAGCTTTCTTCCTCCACTTTTGCTTTAAACTCTTCAGTCCTGCAAACTTCGGTGGTCCTTCTGGTCCAGTGGCCATCTGCCCACTCATTCCTTGCTCTCAGGGGTGGGAAGAAGTGCATTGAAGATGGCCATATTCTCTCATCCATCTCACACAATCTTCCCTATCCTGCCAGAACTGTTTTTGACCCATGGCAGAAGAAATTTGGCAAACCCTCCACACCGCAACAGCATCACCACCGACAAGGGATCATGGTGATGTCAACTGGGAAGACCTGAACAACCACGATGAGCAGAGTGCAGGCAGGAGGGTGAGAGCCGTTAGAGCAAAGTGCAGGGTGATGCACCAAGCAAAGAGGCCTTCACCTCAAAATGGCCAACGAGAAGAAAGATCTGGATGAGATGGTCACTGCCTACAACAAAGCGATTCTGTCATAGCACTGAAAGAGGGTGTTTAGTATCTGGTGAGACATTTCCAGTTGAGACAGTGAAGCATAAATGCCCGTGTACGTGTCAGTCCTGGCAGCTCGCACCTTTTCGGTCCACCATGTTGAAAGAGACGCTCAGATGGGAACATGTATGGGAAATGGCAACCAGAAAATGGAGAGGGACAAGGAGCCTAAAGTCTCCAGGCTTTGCCGGGCAGGGAAAACCGCAGCTGAGAAGACAGAGTGATTTCTCTCTCTACACATATCAAGAGAGACAACACCAAGGAGGGGAAAGAGCTAATAAAGTTGAAGAACAAGAGCTGACACAAAAGCAAGCAAGTGCAAACTGGTCTCAGATAAACACTGGTGGGACACGGGACAGAGACTTTTAAGTATTTGAGAAGTGAGATGCTGGAAAGGCTTCCAAACAGGTGTCCAGGAACAAAATCCTCACTCGTTCAGAGGGGGGTTAAATCCCACGACTGATACCAATTTAGCCGCAGGACCTAAAGAGATCAGCCCACCACCTCCAAGAAGCAGACTTCCAGGCAGAGGCTTTGAGGTCCGATGCAAGCCCGCGTGTTTTGGGCAGTATTCCCCTGCCTGTGTGCAGGGACCTACATCTGACCTAGTCAACCTTTGGAGCCAGTGAAGAGAAGGGGATGTCTGGGCCATCATTATCTGGTGCTCAACCGATTTGGGGGTTGGTTGGGAAGGTTTTGGCTCCCCTGCAGTCTCCTGCCTGCAGCCACCACCCTGACTCAGAGTTCAGCGATCACCCAACAAGGTTTTCTTTCTTGTTGCATTTGCTGTAGCCGTTTTTCAGAGTTGAATCCCAAACCCACAAGCAACCACAAGTAGGGAGGTTTTTTTTCCTCCTTATTTTCTTCGAGGCAGGTGAGACAAATACTTTTCAACAGATATTCCTGAGCATTTATTTCCTCCTGTCTCTGTCCCTTCTTGCCTTCACCTTGATTTACCTCTTAACCTCCTTCCTTGATGAGATTGGCTGAGGTTGCAGGAAAGTGAAGTAGTCAGATGAGCCTATCTCCAGCCCATGGGATTTTCCTCCTTAAGGGAGCCAGCTTCAGCAGCCCCAGGAATGGAGCTGCCATGGGACAGAATAAGGGCTTGGGACTGGAAGATGCCGCATCAAGCTGTGGGTTTGCTATCTCATCATGTCCCATGTACAGGACAGTCATCACTCTGCATGCTCAGCACCCCCGGTACAATGGTCTGTCTGGTGTCACCCTAGAAAGCAGCCACAGAGTGGGAACTGAGTGGCTGGCAGCTCAGTTGGACCAGACCTAGTGGTGACAGTGACAACCGGGTTGAACATAAGCCCACAGTTACTGTCCTTGCGAGCACAGCAAACCGCGCTCTGGGAGCTGTAGTCAGACTGGACAGTAAGAAAGTCTTCACTGGGAGGGTGGTGCAGCCCTGGGACAGGCCACCAGTGAGGTGCGGGGTGTCCATCCTTGGAGGTTTTTCAAGACTCGGTCACGTAAAGCCACAGCCGTCCTGATCTAGCGCTAGCAGCAGTCCTGCTTTGAGCAGGAGACTGGCCTAGAGACCTCCAGAGGTCCTGTCTCACTGGAGAGGGCAGGAGCATCTCTACGTCCAAGCATGTTAAGGCTGTGCTGGATCTTCTTCTTTGTGGTGTCCTGCAGACCCCACAAAGCAATACTGATGGCGATAACCCAGCTAGACTTGCCACTTGGCCTCCATCCCATCTGTGTGGGAAACGCAAGGCAGCGAGCCACCGCACAGAGATGCTAAATCCCAGTGCAGAAACTCAGCACCCCGCAGAAGGTGTCCAAACGAGAAACTCTTATTTTAAAGATGAGAAAAGCAAGGCATGGACAGCCAAAAGGAGCAACCCAAGGGCTCAGGGTATGGCTCCCTGCATCTACCCAGTGACACGGCATCAGGCCAGGGTGTGA